GCCTGGAAGGGTGGTGCAGACGGTAGACAATAGAGGCACTGAGGGGCAGTGGGCAGTACCTCTGATGACATGAGGTTCCAAGCTGGGGAGTGTCGGGGAAGGGGGGAGAGTGGTCTGGAAGGGGCAGTGAGGAGCAAGGTTGGCCCGTGGGAGAAAGGAGCCTCCCTGAGAGGGCACCTGGTCCTTAGGGGACAGCCAGGATCCCTTGGAACAAAAAGGCTGAGGGGATATTCCAGAGAGAGCATTAGCGACTAGATGACACTGGAAGAGTCGAAGGCTCATCGCGTGTAATATAACTTGGGAAGAATTCCCATTTTGCAGTATTTAGATTTTTTTATCGAAGCACATGGTATGTCTGAATATTCCTGTCCCCCCGCCACCCCCACTTCCAGTTTAGGAAGACTGCCAGGTGTGGATGTCAGTCTGGTCTTTCTCAGCTGTCACATTCGCTCTCCCCGCCCGCAGTCCTCCTGACTTCAGTATCTGCTACGTTTCTAGGTCGTGCGCTCGAGTCTGAAACCAATCATGTACTTAAACAATTCTAAGTAGCCTCGCGGATAAAATAGTGCCTTCGCCTTGCAAGGCGCGTTTAAGATTTCCAGAACACCCCCATCTGTTACCCCATCCCGCGGTAATCCTCAGGGTGTCTGGGACAGGCGTCCGCACCCGGCTTGAGGAAGTCAAGGCACAGGAGGTTAAGTGACCTGCCAGGGGCCAACTCCTCAGGAAGCAGGTTCTCATTTTAAACCTGGAGGGTTTTTACCTTTGAAAACTGCCTCGCCATACCCAAGGAAAGTAAAAACACAGGTCCACACAAAAGCCTGCCCAGGGATGCTCCCGGGAGCATCAGTCACGATAACCGAAAGGCAGAGCAACCCACGGGCTGGCCTGGCTGAGGCCCAGGGGAGGGAGGGATTGTGGCTGGTGGACACACATGGAAAGATGACCGAAGCCAAAGCCAGCCTCCATCCGGGGTCAGGGTAGGATGCAGGGGCCGGCGTGCTCATATAGCTACTTAACACTCCCACCAACCAGCAGCCTTCGTCTGGTCTCCCCAAGGACCAGCAGAGAGGCAGTACAGACGAAGGAAAGGCTGCTGCCCAAATGGCAGGACCTGGAGGGCTCAAGCCAGCAGGACGGGCTTTGGCCAGAAGTCCCAGGGAGGGGTCGGCTCCGCCCTGGCCCTGGAGGGATCTCTGCCTCTCTGGCCCTGGGTGAATTTGGGCAGCAAGGACCTGGCCGGGCCAGCTCCGAAGCAGCGTCTAGGTGCCCTGAAGTCCTCGGTGTGTTCCATCCCGCCCATTCGGCTGTCGTCCCCCTGGAGGGAGCCTCCTCTACCCACGATCCCTTGCTGCCGATGGGCTTGGGGCTCTGCGGGGTTCAGGTCACCCCGGCAGCGCCCTGTGAGGCAGCCTCCTCAGCTGTTGCGCAACCTCGAAGCTGACGGGCGTGTGCCAGGCTTTGGAGCCTGATAAGACGTCTTTATCTTTCACCGTGGGCTCCCTCCCCCACGCAGAGGTTATGACTGACGCCGTCTGCAGGGTCTGCGGCGCATTACTGCCCAGCCCTTGGCCGTATTAAACCTGCGCGTCCGTCAGCCCCGGATCCGCTGTCTCTGTCTCGCTCTCTGCGGGCGGGCCGGACCCTGCCTCCCGCCTGCTGTGCCCTCCTCAGCTGGCCCCCCAGGCCCCTCTCCAGCCTTGGCGGCTTCACCCGTGTCCCGCTGCCTTGCTGCACTCGCTGACTTCTTCTGTTTTGTTCCGATTTCCCTGGATTTTGCAATGGCGTCGTTTACAAGGGGTTTTTTAATCTTTTCTATGACGCCCTCTCCCTTGTATTCTGTCTTCCTGGGTGCGTTTCTAGGGTTTCTCTGCTGAGACTAGTTCGGTCTCCGGGTTTCAGCATTTTGAACTGGTCGCCATCTATCCCTGGGGCGTGCAGACCGTGCCGGCTGTTCATCGGGCGTGTGCTGTAAATTAGAGTTTATGGGGCATCTTCTCGGGATCTGTGGAAATCGTCTCTGGCATTTACTGTCCGTCGCTGTGCTCCGTGCAGCCCTGTGTTTAAGTCTCCCGAATTCCCGAGGCGACCCCTCCCTGGTCACCAGGAACGGCTCTTTTGATCTGGCGCCGGGCTCTGTTTGCTAAGTGGAATTTCAGATCCAAGTTTAAACAGAATTAGCCTGTCATTTTCTTCTGTGATGTTGTCCTGACAGGTTTAGGCCCCAAACCCTCTTTCCCCACAGCACGGACGGGGCGGGTTTTCTGTTTTATGTGAACATTACTTGAGCCGGTTGGTATGCGCACTGCAGCCTGCGGCCCCCGCCCGTGGGGTCAGCCGGCGCCTCGGGCCACTGCCCCC